AGTACAGCCGTGAAGTCGAAAAAAAAATAAAATCAGCGGAGGACTATTTTCTGAGTCGTCGGCTACCGCCGACCGGTCGGCCCCGATCGGTCGGTACAATACGGTCGGCGGTCGGCCCGACCGGTCGGCAGGGATGCAACCCTGGTCAATTATGAACAGATCCCGCAGCAGGCCGTCGAACCTATCAGAAAGTCTCAGGATGCTATGATAGCATCTGAGAATAAACATAGACGACCCTCTAACTTTCAGGTAGGTGATAGAGTCTGGGTAAAGTCATCTGAACTAGGTCAGGAGTTTGGGATTTCACGTAAACTGATGCCACAGTATTTTGGGCCCTGGGAGATCTTAGACATTGTAGGGGATCAACCGGATGAGCCTTCTTCATACGTGATTCAAATTCTTGCACACTTATGCACTTACCCTGTTTTCCATGCATCCAAGTTGGCACCTTTCGTTGCCACAGCTCAATTTCCCTCCAGAAGATCAATGCTGCCCCCAACCATGGATGGACACGTGGACATTGATGATATCATCGAACACAAGCTGATGCCTGTGCCCAAACCTCCAGGAAGGGGACGACCGCCAAAGCCACAGATGCAATACCGAGTGCGGTTCAGGCATCACATTGATCCTCGAGAAGACCGGTGGTTCACAAGAGAGGAATTAATGAAGACTGCTCTCCAAATTATCTAAGCTGAAAGGGAAGCAGCCTGTTACATAAGGACTTCTCAGAGGACCATCGAAGAAAAGGAGGAGGGAATGCGAGGATCTGGGTCCTTTGCAGGCCTAAGGGGCCCCTGCTGCAAATGTGCCCGCCCTAAGTGAAGGCGGGCCTAACAAATCCCGAGAGGCCCTAAGCTGTCAAATTCGTATTTGGGGTCCAGGCATTTTCGTCGCGTCATTTGGTTGAGGAAACACAGGCCGAGAAGCAAGGAAATTCCACGGCCTTCCAGGCTCTTCCGAAAGCACAAGCCCTGGACGAGATTCGCAGCCTCATACACAGACAGTTGGGAGGCCCAACCGAATGAGGCCCAGTAGCTGCACCAGAGGCGCAGCATCCTGGGGCTAACGGAAGCTTCTGGGCCCAGGCCCAGGTCAGCCAGGCTGCGAAGGCAGGCCAGCTCTTTCCATATAGGAAAGAGCTCGCTGCCTGGCCAGGCATCCGGGCACTCGCATGCTGGTGGCAGCGCTGCTGGAGCTGAAGCTCGTGGGCTGCTGCTAGCGCTGAGAGGCGAGGTGCTAGCACGTGCGGTCGTGCAGGGAGCCGGGCGCTGCTGTGGGCAGCGCCATAGCCCAGCCTCCATAGCTGGCGGGCTTGGATGTACAGTGAGGCGCACATTGTCAATTAGTAGGCTAGTAGTAGCTGTGTAGGGAGTAGGCTGGGCGCCGAGCGTCAAGTAGGGAGATAGGGACTGGATACATATGTTGGTGGTGGCGAGAGCAAGCTCTCATTGACATTGGTTTTCAGTGCTACGATTCTTCATTGGTGTCATATTGGTGCAATCCTGCTTTCTGAACACTGTGATACGAACTGGCTTTCAATGTGATTGTGCAATCTGAATATTGTCATCTCGTTTCTGTTCATTTTCCTTGCATTTGTATCATTTGTATGACATTTTTCCCCTTTCTTGGGCCAACGTCATACTGGTACAACGTATCAAATGAATGTTCCCCACACATCATACTGGTACATTCATTTCATTTGATACATCGTATATTACCTGAGTGATGTGTCACGTACATTCATGTCATTCGATCTGTTGGTATATTTTTGTACCTCTACAATGATCTGTTTGTGTTTGGGATGCTCGTGTGCAGTTGTTCATTGCTGCAGCTAAGCAGGTCCTGATTGTCACGCCTCCCGACGATCTCCAATTAATGGGGACTGTGACGAGTTTCTTCAATTCTTCCTTGGTGGTTGCAAGCGGGGGTAATGCGGAAGAATATATCATCATCGGTATGAGTATTAGTGCCAGCAAAGAGGCGATCTTCATCAATGCAGGGGTGGCAGGCGTATTTTGTGTGCTGATGAATGGCACCTCGTTATGGGCAGACGAGAAGAAGAAACCCACAAGGTTTTCGCCTATCGGCAATGACCTTTCTCCTCCGGCAATAAAGGCCTGCGGAGGAGACAAGTCCCTTTGCATCTTCTTCAACGCGCCGGCAGTCGACCAATGTGACGGTAACATTTACGTATGCGAGTTTTCCCTTTGCACCACAATGACGCTGATTGTCACCCTCCCTCCCCCCTCTGATCCCTTCACCTCGCACTTGTCCTCCTCCTCCTCCTCTCTCTGTGTGTGTGTGTGTGTGTGTGTGTGTG